TTAAAGGAGTTCAGCTTCTCCTGGTTTTGGTGCATTGCACTGAGAGACGGTTCCCTGGATGATCAGAGTGGACTTGTTGAAGCTACAGGTGACAGTCGGCCACAGACGCTCAGTGAAGAACCAACAGCTGATGGTGGACCTGGTGTGTCAGAGCCCAAAGAGGTTTGTTTAGGACTGGTTCTAGGGGGACTCAGGCAGTGCTCTGTGGCTGCAGACCCACCTGAGCTGTAACATCTTCACCTGCAGACTACAGGTGATAGAAACCAGTGCTGACTGTTGCTAGGAGACGGGATGTGAACAGCTGTGTCACAGTCAGACCCTTTGGACCTCCATCAGAGGGTTCGTGGCGCTGTACGGATTCCAGGTTACCTTCTCCTTTACTTCAGAGACACAACAGTCATTATCACACAAACACACAGGGGAGGACTGGGGGACAAAAGAGGCTCAGGAGTTACTGTCAGACCTCAATGCATCACACATATCGACCAGTCAGCAGCCTACTGGGAAACAATACTCATACACTTAACATCATTTTGGATGATTACAAAGAAATTACATCATATGAGTTTTTTTTATATTTGGATCCATCACATGGAATAAAATGATACTGGTTATTGTAACACCTAAAGGTAGGGAGGGGCGGGGGGGTGATGTATTAGATGGGCAAACTGGGTAGTCACTCATAGCAGGCATATTAATGTCAGTGTGGAACTGCGTGGAAAACATATATATATTTTATTTTTAAATACACAATACCCCTTAAAAAAAATGCATTCATTATTTCGACATGATTTTAAATGTATTTAATCATTTACTAATTTGTTTTCTTCAGTTGTTTATTGTATTCATCTTCAAACCCAAAGTGCGTCTCAGTTGGTTCATAGTAAATTATAACATTATATTTATATACTTATTTGGTAAAAATGTTTGAGAAAGAAATGCTGTGTGCATAAATACCAACAAGTTAAAAAACAGAACCTGAACTCACTCTGCTGGTCCCGTTACCGTCACATGGTACTAGAAAACATCAGTATACTCATGGTTCTTATTACCTCACTACATGAGTAGCTCACTCTTTTCTGCATCACTGTCTACGATTGTCTCACCGTCCAGCGTTTGCAGAACATCTGTCTGAGGGACCATCAGAGCCTCCAGGTGCTGCTGAGGCAGTGAGCTCCGGAGCCTCTATTTCATAACGCTTTGCATGCTCGACTGTAAGCAACTGACTACGGCTGACGTGTTAAATCGGATGATCTCGATGACGACATCAGTGCCAGCTTGTTAATTTGACCAGATTATCACGGTTAATTTATTTAATTTATCTAGCTAGTGAGCGTTATTGGTGGCTGGTATTGGACCAGCCCACCTCTGCTCACACAAGAGGTCGCTGGTCAGAACCAAAACGTCCAACAACCAACACTTCTTCATTGACCACGGATCAGCTGACTGTGATGGAGATGAACCCACATAGAATAGTCTCCATCTCTGCAGCTCTACACCGCTGGTTCCACTGGTCAGATGTTCCCCTCAGGAGGTGGTGGAGACCAGAAACAGAAAAGAGAGAGAATAGTGGACTTGGTCCATCAGGTGACACAGAGACTCCTGAGGAACCTTCATGTTGACGTGAACCTGCTGGATGTGGAAGCAGCTGCTTGATCTCATGTTACAGAACTACTGTAGAAGACGATCACATGTCACATGTTGTGTTCACAGCTTGTTGTCACTGAACCACAAGTGGACAAAGAAACCACCTGATGAGGTTTAAACATTTATTCACTGACTGCTGAAGGAAACTGAGTGTGAAATAGAAGCTGACGGTCAGAATGATGCTGACAATAATAATAATAATAGATGAATGAGTGAACGTGATGAGCTGTGGTCATCGGCCAATCACAAGAAGAAGAGGTGGTCCATGTGGACATGAAGGACAAAGCTGTGTGTGATGTAATGTCCACGTCTCCATGCTGCTCTGACCCCCCTCCTCCTTTCAGGGTGGAGCCTGATGGAGTCCGATGGCTGAGACCAGGTCTGAGGAAGTGTAAGTGAGCTTTGATTCATGAAGATTCAACCATCTTCACACTGTGACATCACTCATTCACCTCTGTGACGTCATCATCAACGTGTCAGTAGATGAACACATGATTAATAACTGCAGCTGTATTGTGTCTTGTTCTCTCATCAGATTCCTGTGAACTCACAATCGACACAAACACAGTAAACAAACGACTCAAACTGTCTGACAACAACAGGAAGGTGACAGATGTGATGGAGGATCAGTCGTATCCTGATCATCCAGACAGATTTGACTACTGGCCTCAGCTGTTGTGTAGAACTGGTCTGACTGGTCGCTGTTACTGGGAGGTCGAGTGGAGAGAAAACGTTAATGTATCAGTGAGTTACAGAGGAATCGAGAGGAAAAGAGACAGTTTAGACTGTGTGTTTGGATGCAATGATCAGTCCTGGTGTCTGATGTGCTCTGATAAAGGTTACTATGTCCGTCACAATGAGACAGAAACACGCATCATCATCATCTCCCCCTTCTTCTCCTCCTCCTCCTCCTCTGGTAGAGTAGCAGTGTATGTGGACTGTCCTGCTGGCTCTCTGTCCTTCTACGGAGTCTTCTCTGACACACTGATCCACCTCCACACCTTCAGCACCACATTCACTGAACCTCTTTATCCTGGGTTTGTACTCTGGTCCTGTTCTGGTTCCTCAGTGTCTCTGTGTTCTCTGCAGGAGGGAGAGTCTCCTCCTGGTGGAGAACCTTCCTCTCTGCTCACCACATAGTTCAGTCTGTGCAGCTGATGGTGGTTCATGTGGGTGTAGATGCAGGTGGAGCAGGTGAGGGGTACCTGAGCTGGTCTGGACTCTGGGGGGTCCACAGCTCTCTGGGACTTGTGGTGTTGCAGATGGAATCAATAATTATCGTTTAGATGTTTAATCTTCATCTTTATGTGTCACAATGTTCAAGTAGACGTTTGATAAAAAGGTCATCTGCCCCCCAATACGAGATGGAAGCATCTGTATGATAAACTTGTCCTTATTTGTGTGTGTGCTTGATAAGCAAGTCGACACTTTTATCAAGGATTGTTTGCGATGACAAAAATATAAATGTGTGATTCTTTTTGAAACAATTTTAACTTCAAATCCAATTTCATATAATCAGGTTTTTTCTGAACAAGAACCCTTTGAAATATTCAGCAAACCTCTGAAGAAAAGAGTCAATGACAGATTATATCAGGTGTTTTTATTAACGTTAATAGTACTTTTAGTCCCTCCTTGTATTACTTTGGGTTAACAGGAGTATTATTGGATCGGCCTGATGTTAATAAATGACTTTTATTGTAAACAACATTAAAGGGCTGCTGTAAGGAATTGTTGGACGGAATTATCTCCTTTCCTTTAGTAAAGGATGGTCCAGTGCTTCCTATGCTAAAGGAGCTAAGTAAGGAAGCATTGAAGCTCTTTAGGATTAAAGGATTCAAACAGCTCTTATGATGGCGGCACAGACGCTGCTTCTGGGTCTTTTCACTCAGTGAGGAACCTTCTTAAGAAGAAACGACTGGTCCGATCCAGCCTGAGATGCTTCTTTGTAGCCGCTGCAGACTGACGTCACTGACGTGCGTCTCCGTCCATCGATTCCCTAAACGCCACGTTGTCTCCTAACTCCTCATCTACTCTCCTAACCATCTTTCCTTGACCCCGTTTTCCACAGAGGTCGAGGAAAGATAGTTAGGAACAGATGTTAGGAGGTCATTTTTTGACAATTCAAATCCAGCCTCCCTTTTTGTGTATTTTCTCTCTCTGACACTTTAATGCCCCCCAATGTATTTAATCCCAAACTTTATCTGATGAGCCGTGTTCTGCTTGTCGCCTCGTGTCATAAATGTGTTTCTTCACCATTAAACATGTGACATCAGGCTAATGGAAGTGTGCTTATTGTCATGTATGAAGATCCAAACAAACATCACATTCATACAAAGAACCTGGGAGCAAATGTTTGGAAATTAAACTGCTGACCATGAACCTCACAGCATCTTTTTAAGAAAGTTCTCCACGGGAATCTGAACGTGTCAAAGTGAATTCTTCACTGTAATATCAAATAAAACAAATTCACAAGTGTTTAGTGTGAAGCTGCTGCGTCTGAAACACTTGAGACATGAAACGGATCAGAAAAACTTCCCCAGTGGGGAAACTCATCAACAACACTGTCCTCAACAGACAAACTGATTTATTTAGATATGAATAAAGGCTAGATGTCTCATCCATAGATGTATATATAAAGGCTAGATTTCTCATCCATAGATATATATAGTGGCTAAACCGTAGGTTTTTAACAGGTAGGTGCAATAAATACACATGCAGAAGGTATTTATATTAAATATACAAATACAGGCTAAACTAAAACTCAATATACAGAATGGCAACATGAGCTATATGTATAATTTTATAATAGGAATATTATTAATATAATATATGTACCAACACAATCTCATGGGTAAGCGAGCTGACTGTGGCAAGATGGCCGCTACGTGCGGACGTCGTAGACTCCGCCGTAAGACATCTAGCCTTTATATATATGTCTGCTCTGCGGAGCAGAAACAGCCTTTCTACAGAACTACAGACACAACAGAACTACAGAATGCTATTTGATGACGTCAATGAACAACGAGGGACCTGACACGCGTAAGATACATTTATTTACTTTTTGTATAAGTAAAATGTACTTAAACAACTGCATTGTACTGTCCTAAATGATTGTTAGTCATGTATCAAAAACATTCATTTTATTAGAAAATAGAATAAATTGCATCAGACGTTCTGAAAGGACCCCGTCGTGTTAATCACGCGAGAGGCAGACATCGTTTTCGCTTTCTATCAGCGAAAATAAATAAATAGGTGACACATTATTGTCATTTATTTGTTGTACTATCTTCTAAAAATAGATGTAACGCAATTTAAATTGATAACGTCCTTTTATTAAAAAAATATATATATATCAGTTTTCGGCGTTGATCAGGCGTTCGCCTGAGCCGCCTCATCCATTCCCTTTTCATTCAAGATGGCGGGTGACGAGTCTGGTACAACGCTTGGTCAGCCTCATCTGGCCAGACAAGACCTTAATTCTCTCGTAAGTGCCACTTTAACGAGTGTCAGAGCTTCGGGTTTTCTTCATGTCGGTCGCTGTCGGTTCCCGCGTTTTGCCGTTTCGGCCGTAACGCCAACGGCCGCCGGTGCCGCGTCGCTGCCATCCGGCACATGACGGCAGGCCGCCGGCGGGGCGGAGAGCTAACGCGACCGTTGTTTAACGCTACGCCACAGCGACACCGCGCTATCGTGTCCGAACGCCACTAACGTGTGAATGTATGCCGTCTGTTTACAGCGCCGAAGTGCTCGCCGTCTCCGTTCCGTGTCAGTGATGTGCTCTTCAGTCCCGTTCGGTTCAATGCGTTAGCATCGTTTGCTGTATTGAAGTGAAATCCGTAAAAAGGTCAATGGGATTCGTCACAGTGATGGAACTAGCGATGAAAGAGATTTAACCCAGTTCTTGTTTCTGGTTTTCATCTGTTTAATATGGTTTATTTAGTAAAATAATTTGTTAATGACATGCTTGGGATATAGATCATAGGTTACCGACCTTTCATGATTCTATTTTAAGCAGGTAAATTAAATGATAGTAAACGTGCCACAGAAGCCTTTCAGTGATCAGTTCCACCAATGCCTCATGTAGTTACATAAACACGTAAAGCTCAAGTCTGGTGGTGCTGAATGATAATGAATGGAAGTGATTATCTTTATTAAAGCACAGACATACATAAATAATGTGCAAAAGACTATTAAACAATAGTAGAGTAATTAAAGACAATGTTTGGTGATGTGGCAAGTTCACATACAATGTAAATAGATGTGAATAAGTAGTTGCTTAGTGTCGATATTACCACATAATATATAAATCATCCTTTTGTGTTCAGCTTTGCGTGTTGACTTCATTGTCACTGTGGGTCCGTGTCTGTCTGCTCCTCTCACTGCGTTGTTGTTCCACCCTGAGGAGCCATAACCCGAGATCTTCTCTCCGCAGGATGTTTCCACTCTGACGCCTCTCTCCCAGGAGATCATCAGCCGACAGGCCACCATCAACATCGGTACGTGAAACATTTCATGAAAAAAAAAAAAACTTCAACGAGAAGCTCGGCCTTGTTCTGACGTCAGTCTCCGCCGTCTCTCCCAGGCACCATCGGCCACGTGGCCCACGGGAAGTCCACGGTGGTGAAGGCCATCTCCGGCGTGCACACGGTGCGGTTCAAGAACGAGTTGGAAAGGAACATCACCATCAAGCTAGGATATGCCAACGCTAAGGTGAGCGGCGGCTCATTCCGCACCTTTTCCTCCGTGTGAGGCCCACTGCGTTTTTAAAGTGACGCCTCCGCGCTGTCGCAGGTCTACAAGCTGGACGACCCCAGCTGTCCCAGGCCAGAGTGCTACAGGTCGTGTGGCAGCAGCACTCCGGACGAGTTTCAGTCCGACATCCCCGGAACCAAAGGCAACTTCAAGCTGGTCAGGTGAGGAGAGACAACGCGTCGTGTCCCCCAACGTGGACCCTTTGAATCAGTTACACTCTTAACTGTTTTGTTCCTTCTCTCAGACACGTGTCCTTCGTCGACTGTCCCGGTCACGACATCCTGATGGCGACCATGTTGAACGGAGCCGCCGTGATGGATGCCGCCCTCCTGCTCATTGGTACGCGCCGCCCGCCACCTAACCCCGCTCACACACAAACAGGGTGTTTACTGTCCTCTGACCTGCTCTCCGTCCTCCAGCCGGTAACGAGTCGTGTCCTCAGCCCCAGACGTCGGAGCACCTGGCGGCCATCGAGATCATGAAGCTGAAGCACATCCTGATCCTGCAGAACAAGATCGACCTGGTGAAGGAGAGCCAGGCCAAGGAGCAGTACGAGCAGATCCTCGCCTTCGTGCAGGGTGAGTCGGGACCGGCCTGAACTGCGTCTGCAAATACTTGATTAAAATGAGTCAAAGTCAAAAAAAATTGTCCTGCGAGATTTTTCAGCCGAAGTCCTGACGTTTCTGTGTGTGACGTTGGTCCTGCAGGCACGGTGGCGGAGGGCGCCCCCATCATTCCCATCTCTGCACAGCTGAAGTACAACATCGAGGTGGTTTGCGAGTACATCGTCAAAATGATCCCGGTGCCCATCAGAGACTTCATCTCCGAGCCCCGGCTCATCGGTGAGAAGCATCACCTGCGCCATTTGTTCTTGTGATCTTTAGTTTACATTTCTCTCTTTCTAAATGCTGCATTTCTGCCTTTCAGTCATCAGGTCCTTCGACGTGAACAAGCCGGGCTGTGAAGTCGATGACTTGAAAGGAGGCGTGGCCGGAGGAAGCATCCTAAAGGGAGTCCTCAAGGTGACTCATTGGCGCGGCCTCTTTGCTTCTCTGCCTCAGTGTTTTCTTTAATGGAATAAATCTAAACGCCCCCCCCCCATGTGACCTCCCAGGTGGGCCAGGAGATCGAGGTGCGACCAGGCATCGTGTCCAAAGACCACGAGGGGAAGCTGATGTGCAAACCCATCTTCTCCAAGATCGTCTCCTTGTTCGCCGAGCACAACGACCTCCAGTACGCCGCGCCCGGAGGCCTGATCGGTACGTGTGGCGGGATCAGATAGTTCTGTTTCTCCTAAATGAGTTCGGTTCCGGCGGCAGTCTGTTGTCGCCTCACCTGACTCCCATCCGTAGCCACGACCAAACGTTGCAGCAGCCCTTCCTCACAGTGAGCTCTGGTCTGTGTGCAGGTGTGGGCACCAAGATCGACCCCACGCTGTGCCGGGCGGACCGTATGGTCGGTCAGGTGCTGGGCGCCGTCGGTGCGCTGCCGGAGATCTTCACCGAGCTTGAGATCTCCTACTTCCTGCTCCGAAGGCTGCTGGGAGTCCGCACCGAGGGGGACAAAAAGGCCGCCAAGGTGAGGCTCGAGCGCCGTAGAGTCCAACCGGTCCTTTAAAAAAAAAAAAAAAGTAGTTATTTTAGAGGTCTCGACGATGACGGCGTCCCGGTGTTTTCTCTCGTCCGCGCAGGTCCAGAAGCTGTCGAAGAACGAAGTGCTGATGGTGAACATCGGCTCGCTGTCGACGGGCGGCCGCGTCAGCGCCGTGAAGGCCGACCTCGCCAAGATCGTCCTCACCAACCCCGTCTGCACCGAGGTCGGGGAGAAGATCGCTCTGAGTCGACGTGTGGAGAAACATTGGCGGTGAGGAGCAACAAAAAGTCCAAATGCAAAACATACACAGGTTTTAGGTTTTTAAATTGACCAAAGATCATTAAATAGAGCAGCCGAGAATCTGAAATCTAGAATTATTTGACCTTCAGATGAAATGTTTTCAAAGCCCTTTTGTTAACTAAGGAGTTTAATAATCTAAATGTTGAACTGCTTTTGTGTCTGACTGGCTCCTCCCCTCGTTGTTCCTCAGTCTGATTGGATGGGGGCAGATCAGGAGGGGCGTGACCATCACACCCACAGTGGACGACGACTGAGGAGGAAGCAGCTGACGTCTCAAACATCACACTCTTCTTCATTGCTCTTGTTTTGGGTTGTTTCCTGACAGAGGGAGGGAGGGAACAGGACACATCAGTGTTTTAAAGCTTGTTTCTCCATTTGCTCCTCTTCCTCGGCAGCAACACTGGGAGGTCGAGTTCAGCCTTTCTACTTGGGTGGTTTTACTTTTTTGTTTCTGCAGAAGAAGATCGGGGAGGAGGAGGAGTTCCATTCAGTACATAAATAATTTCAGTAAAATCTAATAAAATGCATTTGGAAGAAAAGTTTGTGTCTGGTTTCCTTTTGTTGCAGCTGAAGATGAAATGAACCTTTTAAATTGAACTTTAAATTTAGTTGAAAATGGTAAAATATATATTGTAATATAATCAGTCCATTTTTGAAAAAGAAATATCAAACCTGTATTTCAGTTGTTCCAATGTGAGGAGTTGGTGCTTTATTCAACACAGTATTTATATTGATAACTGATCTGGGAGAAGTATTTCTACACTGTGGTATAAGTAACCAGAGTAGTAACTTCAGTACTTTCAGAATCCTTTAAAAAATAAAGAATTAAAAAACGCACTGACGATCAAGTCCTCGTGCAGTCGCGATGGCAACGTTTACTGAGGGCGGCGCACTTCCGGGATCAGCCACCTGACGAGCACGGGACGTGACGTCATACAGGTGTTGATGCGAGGCAGAAGTCCGTCGCAGAAGAAGCCGCGGGGGGTAAGATCTAAAATGAGGTTTGTGATGTAGTTCAGGCGTTGCTCCGTTAGACTTGTTTATCTCTGCGAACAAACGGGCCGTGAACGCATCACCGTTTATTTTAAACATCACTCGGGTTTGTTTCGGAGCTCAACTCTTCTCACCTGCTCATGGAGACGGCAGGTAAGATTCACTCTTTACTGCAGCACATTTATTAGAAAACGTTTACATTAGCTGAGGTCCTGTATATTCACTTAGACGGGGTATATTTAAAGGCCGTGACGTGTTCTGGGTTTTCTTTCCTCTCATTGGTCAGGAGGTCAGCGGGGGCGGGGCGGCGGCGGTAAGAGGGGCTCCCCCCTCGACCTCATCCTGAACCAGATCCGCAGGAAGCGCGCGGCGTCGGACAGGAAGCCGCTGGGACGCTTCCTGTCCCGGGACCGGATCCCCGAGGCCGCGGAGGAGACGAGACCGGCCCCAGGTTCGATTCCCAGTTTACCCCCAAAAAACACCTGATTCATCTCACAGAGGGACGATTGAGCATCTTATGCACATATCATATTATAATATATATATATATATATATTACACATGTACTTCTATGACTGCAGACAAGCAGAAGACATTGATGTTAAGACATGAAGAATGTGAAAGAAAAGAAGCTTGTGAGGTTGATGTGTGTGTGTGTGTGCGTGCGTGTGGTGCGTGTGCTGCAGGCACGGCCGAGGCGGCCGGGGGCGAGCGGGACGGCGGGTGGGGTCGAGTGTGCGCCTTCCTGCAGAAGTTGGGGAAGAAGGCCGACAGCCGCAGCCTGCGTCTGTCCCACTGTGACCTCACGGCCACCGACCTGCTGGAGTTAGGTGAGTGCGCGCTTCAGTCCAATGACGTCGTCGCGCTCCTGCAACAGGATGCATATTTAGATTTTCCCTTTAAGACATACATGTTGGATTAAAAAACGAGTCCAACTTATGAGTAGGATCAAATATAGCTTGTTTATATAAATCTATTCTACATTTTTATCCACTTTTGGTTAAACAATTCAGTGGTTGCATATATTTGAAGTAATTCAATTAGCGATTGTGTAGAAATAAAAACACGCAGACGACAGTTTAGATTCAGGTTTTTGCATTAAAACGCTCCGTCCTCGTCCTCAGCGACGTTGCTCCGCCTCCTGCCCCGGCTGGAGGAGCTGGACGTCTCCTGGAACGAGCTGATTGGTGGATGCCTGGCAGCGTTGACCTCTCACCTCCAGCAGGTGGGCGGGGTCAGAGCGCTGAGGCTGTGCAGCTGCAGGCTGACCGCCGCCGACGTGGCGGCGCTGGGTGGGTCGAGTCCAACAAATCATTGCTCTTCACACCTCATCAATAATGTATTAACATCATACAGGCTTGTTTGCAGCTCTTTTTATGATCTGCTGCCTTCGTGTTTGTCATCAACGGGGTCGATCCTCGTTGGTTCTACTTTGTGGGTTCCAGATGTTTGCTCGGGCTCCTCACCACTCAAACAGATGTGTTTGTCGTGCTTTGCTCTTGTGCAGGCGAGGCCCTCGGCTCCGTCCCTCTCCTGGAGGTGCTGGATTTGTCCTGGAACAGCGGCGTCGGCGGCGTCGCTTTGCAATGCCTGCTGGGTAAACTCCCCCCTCCGCTGAGGGAGCTCCACCTGGTGGCCTGTCGGCTCACTGCGGCCGACGCCACGGCACTGGGTACCGACGTTACCCCGTCACCACCGGGGCGTCTGCTTCCATTTCAGAGTTCATACATTTCCCAGAATGCCCCGGGAGAGCGCACCTAACCCCCCCTCCCTCGTCTGTGTAACACGTTATCAGCAGGGATGGTGTCTGCTGCCCCCGGCCTCTGCGTGCTGGACCTCTCCTGTAACCCTCAGCTCGCACAGGAAGTGGACGCCGGCGGCTTCATGGCGCTCGCCTCCCGTCTCCCCCACGCCGCCGCGCTCGCCACGCTCCGCCTGCAGGACTGCGGCCTGAGGCCGGGCGACCTGGAGGCTCTCGGTAGGAGATCCGCAGGAACCCCAGAGGCAAAGATGTTGCTTCGTGGTGGAAAGTGTCGGTTTCTGCCCCCCCAGTTCCCGCCATTTTCCTTAAATCTCCAAAGTTTCCCAAATGTTTGAACCTAAAAAAAGTGAATCATTTTGGGGATCATCCCTCCAGTTTTCCTGCAGCTTCCTGTCAAAGTGACCGTTTTCAGTTTCTCTCAGTGACGTAATGTTTTAAATAGGTTGCTATATTTAATCAATCAATCAACTCGCCACAGAGTTACGTCGACCTTTTGAACTGAAGCGGTTTAAACCTCCACCCTGAGGTTTCATTACAGGGAGTTTTTCATACATTTATACTAATAAAAGATGATTTATTCTGCCCCCCGTCACTGTCCTGCAGGTGGTTCGCTCCATCATCTCCCCTCATTGCGAGAGTTGGACCTGTCCTGTAACAAGAGTCTGGCTGGAGGCCTGGACGCCCTCGCGCCCCACCTGGCTCACCTCACACACCTGGAGAGCCTCGACCTCCACCAGTGCCGGCTCACACACTCCGATCTGGAGGCCCTGAGTGAGTCTGTGTGTGTGTGTGTGTGTGTGTGTGCGTGTGTGTGTGCGCGTGCACGTGCACTTTCGTGCGTGGACCTCTGACTGTGGGTGAGTGTCAGAGGTCGCCGGTCACGTGACCCTGTTGTCTCCAGTCCAGGTGCTTCCCTGTCTGGTGGGGCTGACCCAGCTTGATGTGTCATCCAATCAGGAGGCAGGGGGCGTGGCTGACCGGCTGGTCGCCGCCCTCCCGCTGCCACAGATGAGGCGGCTGCCGCTCAACAGCTGCAGCCTGAACCGGGACTCCTTCACTGCTCTGGGTACCAATAAATACTACTGATATCAGTACTCTCAGCTGTACTACCCTCACTGTACTTGTGTACTATCAAAACTACTTCTGCTTCTATGACAACCGCTTCGAATAATACGTCACTTTATGATCCGTTTTAGAAACCATATGTATTTTATTTTTAAATACACAAGATCCCTTAAACACAAAAGCAAATTACCAACACAAATATAGAATGTATTCATCCTTTTAACTGTATTTAATTTACTAATTGATTTTCTTCAGTTCTGTTTATTGTATCATCTTTAATCACAAAGTCTCAGTTGTCCAATGGTAAAAAATAAACGTATCATATTTAAAATAGTAATTTGGTAAAAATGTTTGAAAAAAAAAGGCCTTTCTTGAGTCTGTGCATGCGTGTGCGTGTGTGTGCGTGTGTGTGTGTGTGTGTGTGTCTCAGCTCTGGCCGTGCCCTGCCTGCTCAGCGTGGACGTGTCCTGGTGCAAAGTGGTCGGCGGGCGTTTGGCTCTGCTGCTCGACGCTTTGCAGCCGTCTGTCGTCCTGGAGCTCCGCCTCAGCAGCTGTGACCTCACCACTGAGGACCTGCGTCACCTGGGGTAACACACACACACACACACACACACACACACACACGTGCACGCAAAAGACAATGCTCGTAAAACGGAAGCTTAAGAGAATGACAAACTGTCAGTAACTAAGTTTCAATGTTCTTCTTCGTTGGTGCGGTCCAGGTGCCGCGTGCCGACGTGGCGTCCTGTCCTCCCTGCGCGCGTTGGACGTGTCCTACAATGGCTCCGTGGGCGAGGACGGCTGGTCCGCCCTGTTGGCGGCGGGGGGCCTGGCCTCGCTGCGGGACGTCGACCTCAGCCTGCGACCTTTGACCTCTGCCCCCTGCTCGGCCTGGCTGCCGGCGCTCCTCCGCGCGCTGCCCGGCCTCCCGGCGCTGAACCGCCTGGCGGCACAGCGCTGGACCGCCGGCCCCCGGGACAGAGAGCAGCTGACCCACAGCCTGAGGAAGAGGGGCGTCCTGCTGGAGTGGGACGCGACGACGTCATCCGAGGCGACCAATCGGGAGAGTCCGGAGGAGTAGAGGAACGTCACCGATGAGGATCAATGGAATTACAAGATGTTGTTATTAGTAGTCATTTGTTTATTGAACAGTTCCATGTAAAACAACACTGAGAGGTGCTTTAAAGTACTATTAAGAAAAGGCTAAATAAAAAGCATCTCACACAGTGATGATGTCATCATGTCACCTGACTCAGATCTTTCACTTATGATGAACAACCTTGTTAAACAGCTCATTTTGTAGAACATAAATTTAGGAGAACACGTCCTTTTCTCACTCAGGAGGTACTGATTCAGGCTCTTGTCGTCTCCCTCCTGGACTACTGTGACTCTCTCCTGCAGGTCTCCTGCTACCTCCATTCCACCTCTGCAGCTCATCCACAATGCAGCAGCTCCACTGGTCTTTAACCTTCCTAAGTTCTCCCTCACTCCTCCACTCCTCCGCTCTCTTCACTGGTACCGGTGGCTCATCTAGTTCTAAACATGGTGCTCACGTATCATGCTGTGAATGGATGGGGTCCAGCTTACATCCAGGACCTGGTCCAACCCGACACCCCGACCTCTGACCTCTCCGCTCTGCATGTGATAAACTGCTTGTTCCTCCTCACTGAGAGCAAAACACTCCACTAGATCTCCACTCTTTGCTGTCCTGCTCCTAAATGGTGGAAGGAGGTCTCTGAAGACATCAGGACCACAGAGAGCCTTCACATCTTCAGACTAAAGACACACCTCTTCAGACTCTACCTCCACTAACACACTAACTAACTGTAGCACTTATTGGACTTATGATGGTTCTTATCTACAGCAAGTTGTAAATTGGGTTATTTGATGAATTTGCACTTTCTTGTTTCTTGTTCTTCTGAGTTTGTGTCCTTATGGTTAAATTTTTCCTATTGTAAGTCGCTTTGGATAAAAGCGTCAGATAAATGACATGTGATGTAATTTAACTATGAACTAAAATCCAGAAGTGAACTTGAGTATTTAAACGAAAGAAAGGGCAAAGTTGGGCGGAGCTCTGAGATTTGGGACGACCTTCAGTTGACCTTTAGTTGACCTTAAGGCGACGGTAGAAACGGTTCAGGTTGATCTATGATATATATATGACTCCCAAAGCCTGGGATGAATATCGATGCACCTTTAATTGAAAACATCTCTTCTTCATTGTTCTATTTGGTTTGTATTTCCACTTTGAAGCCCAGCTGGACTGCAGGGAACCGAGCGCCGGGACGGCGGCCTCACATCGAGGCCTCACATCGAGGCCTCACATCGAGGCATCGCAGGGGAACGTGTCGACGTCCGCCCCGAAGCGGCGTCTCCTCAAACCACGGAAGGCCTCGGCGAGAAACGTCCGGCCGTCCGCCTCGTACGCGCTGACGTCAGTCCGGCTCGGAGGGAGACGGCCGCTGGCGATCATCTCCCCGAACACCTGGAGAGAGAGAGCCGAGGGTTAAAGTGTGTCCCTTGGGGATCGGTGGGGCGAGTGTGGGGGGGGTACCTGACAGACGGGCTCCTCCAGGCGGTTCCCCCAGATGTAAAGGTGGCTCAGAGCGGTGCTCGCCATCAGAGCCTGAGCCAGAGAGAGCAGCCCCTCCGTCCCCACGTGGTTGCTTCTGACCGACAGCCTGAAGGAGAAGTTTATTCAGCTGGTGACATGCAGCCATTTAGTCACGAGGAAATATTAAATATTTCACCTCTACTTTTCACCTTCAGATCTTAAAAAACATTCAACTACCCTATGGAGTAAACTTGAGATTTGAATTATTGGAAACCTTTAAATCTTCAGGCCTCTTGAAATGAATCAGACTTCAAAATGACTCAATACACTTTCCCCTCTACAGACCCGTAGAACAAGTGGAAGCTTGATACCTTCTTAGAGCAACGAACAGCACTTAAATTAAGTAAGAAACGCAATATTTTCTCCTATTCAAAGTAAAGAAAGCCACTAGGTAAAAACTGGAAACCTTTACTTCATATGACCTTTGACCTTTACCTATTTCCTCCCCAGACCTTTGAACCCCTTAAACCGACGGGAGACAGTAGATAACACGCGCTGGGCGTTGTGGACTCACTCCCTCAGGACGCAGCCCGGCCAGGCCACGCCCTCACTCAGGTACGCAGCGCCTTCGTCTTCGATCCGATTGGACGACAGATCCACCACCTGCAGGGTCCGGCTCTGCTTCAGCAGCTCGGACAGGTGACGCACGCCGTCGCGAGTCACGCGGTTGCTGCGCACAACAGGAGAAAAAAAACAACTATATTCCCGTCTTCATCAACCCA